CAAGCTGTTTTCGAGAGTCATCACGAACCGTCTTGCGCAAAGACTCGACGAATTCCAACCACCGGAGCAAACTGGGTTTCGGAGCGGATATGGCACCATAGACCACATCCACACAGTGCGGCAGATTATACAGAAGACCGAAGAATATAATCAGCCCCTGTGTCTAGCATTCGTGGACTATGAGAAAGCCTTTGACTCGATCGAGATCTGGTGTGTTCTGGAGTCCCTGCAGCGTTGCCAAGTAGATTGGCGATACATCCAAGTGATGAGATGTCTCTACGAAGCCGCCACCATGTCCGTCCAAGTACAGAATCAGCAAACAAGACCCGTACCATTGCATCGAGGAGTGAGACAAGGGGACGTTATTTCCCCGAAATTGTTCACAAATGCAATGGAGGACATGTTCAAGACGCTGCACTGGAAAGGGCGTGGCATCAATATCAATGGCGAATACATCTCTCACTTGCGATTTGCAGATGACATCGTCATCATGGCAGAGACGTTGCAGGACCTACAGCAAGTGCTGAATGACTTAGCTGACACTTCTGTACGCATCGGCCTACGGATGAACTTGGATAAAACCAAGGTCATGTTCAACGAACATGTACTACCGGAACCGATTGCGGTACACGGTGCCGTTCTCGAAGTTGTTCAAAATTATGTGTACCTCGGGCAGACATTGCAGTTAGGTAGAAACAACTTCGAGGACGAGGTGAACAGAAGAATTCGGTTGGGTTGGGCAGCATTTGGGAAGCTACGTCGAGTCTTCTCATCGTCGATCCCACAGTGCCTTAAGACGAAACTCTTTAATGAGTGCGTCCTACCCGTCATGACATACGGAGCTGAAACGTGGACACTTACGGTACGGCTGGTCCACAAGTTCAAAGTCGCTCAACGTGCTATGGAAAGGGCTATGCTCGGCGTTTCTCTAAGGGATCGCATCAGAAATGAGGTGATCCGGCAGAGAACTAAGGTCACCGACATAGCGTATTGTTGTTGCGTATTGTGGGCTGGCCATATTAGCCGCAGAACCGATAACCGTTGGGGAAAACGAGTTCTTGAGTGGAGACCGCGTCTCGGCAAACGTAGTGTAAGACGCCCACAGGCCAGGTGGAGTGACGATTTGCGCAAGATGGCTGGCAGGAGCTGGATGCGAGAAGCCCAAAATCGATCTAAGTGGCGTGCAATTGGAGAGGCCTATGTCCAGCAGTGGACTGCGATGGGCTGATGATGATGATGATGATGATGATGATTAATCTTGAAGAAATACAAAGATTTTGGGCAATCGAGGACATTGCTGAAGAGTCGAACCTGTCTATCGAAGATCAAGAGTGCATGCAGTACTACAAAAATACGACTATTCGTCGGGAAGACGGAAGATACGAGGTACGGCTACCTCTGAAATCTGACCACTTAAAAAACTTGGGTCTATCAAAAAACAAGGTAGTAGCACAATTTAAAACATTAGAACGAAAGTTTACGAAAAATAGGCCTATTGAAGAAAGTTATAAAGCATTTATGAGGGAATATAAATCCTTGGGTCACATGGTTCCGGCTCCTTTCGTAAAAAAGACTGGGCCCGTATACTATCTTAGTCACCACGGCGTAGAGCGATCTGAATCGACTACAACGAAGTTTAGAGTAGTATTCAACGGCTCCAATAAAACTTCGTCGGGACATAGCTTAAATGACGTCATGAAATGCGGTCCTAATCTTCAACAAGATCTGCAGTCTCTTCTCAGAAAATGGCGACAGTATCAATTCGCTTTTACTGCAGTTATTGAGAAACTGTTTCGTGAAATTTGGATAAATTTAGTACAACAATAAATTTAGTAGTAACACAAACAGCCAACTATTTAATGTGTGCCATCTAAATGTCCAAGGTGTTCCTAGCCACTACGCTGATTTGTATGACGCATTTTGTGATGCTAATATTCATGCCGTTGTGATCTCCGAGACTTGGCTCAAACCGCACCTTCTCTCCACCTCTTACTCCCTGCCCGGCTTTATTCTTATCCGGAACGATCGTATCGGGAGGGGGGGAGGTGTCGTGGCTATTTACCTACGAAGTGACTTTTCCTATAGAATTATATCAGCTTCCTCTTCTCATTATAATGCTTCTGCTGAATTCCTATTCTTAGAGGTTTGTGTCAAAGGCGCTAAGGTTGTACTCGGTGTTGTCTATTGTCCCCCTTCTATTGACTATTTCACTGATTTCTAATCCTCTCATGGTCAGCTTGTCGCTTCCGGATTTTGATGGCCATGAGACGTCGAGATCGCGCATTTAGGACTTATAAGAGGGACCCGAAGTCAACTGGCAATTGAACAAGTCTGCAAGGAATCGGTACCCAAGTGATACTGAACGCTAAACGCCGCCACATTCTAGATAATATTTCCTCTTCATCTCCTGCCAACATCTGGAAGTTCCTTGGGACTCTTGGTATCGGCAGATCGCGACATGTGGACTTTCCACAACCCATAAATCTCGATTCCCTAAACAAACATTTTACCACCTCTTTCACGTTGGATATTACATAAATAGTCTACCGCGCTCTAACTTAAACCCTTTTCACTTCAGTCCGGTTGCAGAAGGAGAGATTAAGAAGATTATTCAATTTATCAGATCCCAAGCAGTTGGTTGTGATGGCATTAGTCGGAAAATGATCACCACATTGCTGGTCCACGTCCTTTCCGCTATCTCCCATATTATCTTTCTGTGTCTTTTCTCTCATGTCTGGCACATTTCCTTCTCTGTGGCGGAGAGTGTATGTGCGCCCGTTACCTAAAACTCCCAATCCGTCTCTTCCCACACACTGTCGTCCAATTTCTATCCTTCCCTTCCTCTTCATGGTGCTAGAGGCCTGCGTCCACAACAGTTCTCCCACTTCATTTACAGTAACAACTTACTCAGTCCCTTTCAGTCAGGGTTTCGACCAGGCCATAGCACGGCATCTGCTCTACTTAAAGTGACTGGCGATATTAAGGTCTGGATGGAGAATACTAAGGTAAGAATACCTTAGTACTGGTTGATTTTTCGAATGCCTTCAATACCGTCAGTCATGAACTTCTCCTTGCTGTCCTATCCCATTTCTCGGTCTCTCAAGATGCACTAGGCTGGTTTTCCTCTTACCTTCGGGATCGTCAGCAGTCAGTCAGTGTCGAAGATTCTTCCTCTAGCTGGTGTGATCTTACTGCTGGCGTCCCTCAAGGCGGTATTCTTTCACCTCTTCTGTTTTCTATCTTCATTAATCTTATCATCCTAAGACTTCAGTGTTCCTTTCATCTCTACGCTGATGACTTGCAGCTATACTACCAGACAGAGTTGTGCAATGTATCGTCCGCAATTTCAGTTATAAATAGTGATCTGACAGCCATTAAACACTGGTCTGATATGTTTGGCGTATCGGTCAATCCAAATAAATGTCAGGCTATTGTCATCGGGAGTAACCGAGCTATGAGCCAGCTCGACCTTGCCTCACTTCCACCACTTACCTACGATGGCATGGTTATTCCATACTGTCAGAGTGTGAAAGACCTCGGATTGTATATTGACACAACTCTGAGCTGGCGAAAACAAGTTGCATCTGTGTGCCAGAAAGTGACAGGTTCGCTGCGGGCCCTCTATAGACTTAGAAACTTTCTTCCATCGAAAACTACGGTAATGCTTGTTCAGTCTCTTATATTCCCTATAATCGACTATGGTGATATGTACTACTTTGACCTGAACGCAGATCTGCTCAATAAGCTTGACCGTCTTCTCAACAATTGCATTCGATTCGTTTTCAATTTACGCAAATATGATCACGTGTCTCAGCATCGCTCTCATTTGAAATGGCTTCCAACTCGCCAACTCAGACAGACACGAGCATTAACTACCCTATATTCTTTACTCTTTTCCCCAAATTCTCCTTCCTACCTCACTTCTCAAATTCAATATTTAGGTGCAAACCACGCTAAAAATCTTAGATCTTTAGACAACCTACTTCTTCACTGTCCGAGTCACCAGTCCGACTTCGTACATTCCACTTTTTTGATACAATCTGTCCTGTTATGGAACGCGCTACCTCTCGAGATCAGGATGGCAAAAACTCGGCAAACATTTAAATACCTGTTGCGGCAACATTTTTTAAACACTATCAAATCCTTCTTAATTTTATACACTCTCCATCTAGAATTTATATTATGTGTATTACATATTATTGTAGTTCGGTTCGATTCGGTTGTAGATCGGCACAGGCATATCATAGATTTTGTATGGGTTTGATTTTTGTTAAATTTATTTGCTTACTATTTGACAAAACAGAGATTGTTGCTTTTGTGTGTGTTGATCTATGACTTTAGAGTCTACATAAAAGACGATTTCAAACAATTTTGAAATTTTTATGAAATAAAGAGAGTTTGAGTTTGAAGGTAATGATGATAGTCTAGACCAGGACTTCCCAACCAGGGGGGCATGCCCCACTCGGGAGGAGTAGAGAAATGTTTTGGGGGGGCGTCGTAAGTACATAATATGTAAGATTACATTTCCAAAAAAAAACAGTCATTACAGCTTTTAATGTTTAGTTTAAAATAAATGTTGACTTTTCTGTGTACAATATATTTTTTAAGTAATCGATAGAAACAATTAAAAAAACGCATATTCCCTATTGTTCCTAATTGCCATTCAATCGCTGCTGTACAAGTTTCTACAAGTGACATCGCCGTCTCAAAGAATAATTGATTAGCTACATCATTGCTTAGGCTCATCAGATACAGCACAATAAAATGTGCAAGTTCTCTAAGCGCGTACTCATTAACAGGTCGCGTTGAATACATGACCACGCTGGAGCAAAATAATATGACACAGAGCCTACTACGCATAGAGTAGACAGTGACGATAAATATTAGTGCACAATTACAATAATGCATCGCAACATAATATACTTTTTTAGAGTAGTAATTTGAAATGTGAATAAGAAATAATAATACCAAAATGATGACAGCCTCGTATAAATAATTTTCTAAATAATTTTCCATAGGTCTTCCTCGTCTGCAATTGGAATGGCAGGTGCTGTAGCAGCTTTTCTCACATAAATTCGCCCGTTTTTTGACCAGGTATACTGATATTCCTTAGACCGAGATATTTCTTTAGCTTTCTTCAAAAGATTCTTGTTGTAGATGGTGAGATGTTCATTCACGAATATAGGGGTAACTTTGCCATGAATCTGTAGGTCTGAAGTAGTCAAACGGCATTTACGCGCCTTCGAGATTAGATTGTCTCTGAGTTGACGTGTACTTAACTTAATGATTATATTTTTGGGTCTACCTTGGTTTTTGGTCTTAGAAGCCACTCTATTTACATGTATTATATTCTCACGGATTATTACAACACCGGCATGATTCGCAAGGTTTTCAGTAAATTGCAGTAGGTTTTCTTGTGGCATTTCCGGCACTCCAACAATTTCTACGTTCAACAATCTATCCCTTTGCTCGCTTTCATTTATATTGGAATTTAGTATTTTATTCTTATTTTTTAGCTCATCTATTTCGGTTTGGAAATGGCTGATACTGTTAACCTCCCTTGAATAGACCTCCAGCTTTTTTATAATATCGTCTTAGTTACCGCTATGGAATTGCAGTGATTTTTTAAAAGTAGTTATCTCCTCTTGCACCTTTTTCTGAGCAGTATCCAAAATTTCAAACGACTTCTTCATTGCTGAGTATTCTTCTCGGATGTAGTTTACCTCACATTTTAGTTCTTGAGTGACCTCGTTGATGGTTTTCAAGGAATCCTTAATCTCCGCAGTTTCTCGACTAATATCCGACTTGAATTCGAGTAATGTATCCATAATTTGCTTCTTAAATTGTTCGAATGCTTCTGTGAATTCATCGTTATGACCCCGTTTGCGGCGCGAAACAGTTTCCAATGAAAGGTCTTGAGTCGATCCGGAATGTTTAATGGATTTCTGTGACATCGTACCTGTCTATTCGTTCTGAACTCTGTGGTCGCACACGTATAACACAACTAGGTTTGGAATCGCATCGAAAAAAGTGCACAGTTAAAAAGGATCTCAATCACAGGAAGTTAAGATTGTCTTTAAGTTGTTAACTATATTAATATTGAAAGATTTTAAGTATAAAAGTGGTAAATACGTCCGCTCGCGCTGGCTCGCTAGTAGTATGATATACCTACCAATGTCCTAAAAATAGGTAGGTACACACGGCCAGCGATCAAGTTACCCAAAATCAACATAAACGGAACTCTCGCGTCAAAGTTTTTAACACGAGTTCCGTATAAAATTAGTTATTGTTTATAATTATATGAATAATTATATATAAATACTGCTGGTGTATCTTAATAAATAAATAAAGGCGATATGTACAAAAACTTGCGAGAATTTTTTCTCAATTTCAATTTACCTATTTTTTTTGCAAGTGTATTGACAACTTTATACGGGACTTGCCTATCTCGGGCTGAAATTTTACCTTGTATTGCCAACGTCACGCAGCACGTGAATAGTAATAAACTATTATTACATTGTTTCAAGCGCGAAATGGCATCGAAAAAAAGAAAGTTTTCGGATGATTATATTAAATTTGGATTTACCTTCATAGAAAGAGACGAACTACAATTGCCGCAGTGTGTAATATGTCAACTCCGCCAGGTCATCATAGTGGAGTGGAGGGAACGACTCGGGCAACCGAGCGCCGGGCACGCCGTCATCGCGGCGGTAAGACCCGTTATGGAGGATTGGCTCGAGAGGCGTCACGGGACCCTCTCATACCGACTGACGCAGGTGATCACTGGGAAAGGATGTTTCGGGGATCACCTGTGTCTGATCCGCAAGGAGCCAACGCCTGAGTGCCACCACTGCGATGGCCAGACCCTGGACACGGCTCTCCACACGCTGGCAGAGTGCCCGGCGTGGCTAGATCAGAGGCGAGACCTCGTGGCGGCCATCGGAGTGGGAGTTCTCTCGCTCGATAGCCTGATTGCGGCTATCGTGCAGAGCGAGAGTGCGTGGAACTCTGCCGTCTCCTTCTGCGAGCAAGTTATGCTCGTGAAGGAGACGGCGGAGCGTGACCGGGAGAGGTTTAGGACTCTCCGGAACTCCGTTAGGAACGGGCCAGGTACCGCAGGCGACTCAGGCGCCGGAAGTCGCAGAACGACCTCCGTCCTCCATAAGCGCAGGCCTGGGGGTGACAAAGTTTTAAGCAATGATAGTATGAGACCCAGTCGCCTTGAGAGACATTTGAACCAGCAACATCCTACTCTAGCTTCGAAATCCAAAGAGTTTTTTTCTTCTTAAGCAGAATCACTTAAACGCATGAGATTGGATAAGTCGGGAAGTTATCATAAAGGTGTATCACAACATGTCAAAGCTTCATTCGTATTAGCTTTTTTGATAGCAAAACAAAAGAAACCTCACACTATCGGTGAGGATTTAATCAAACCATGTATCCTTAAAGCCACTTAAATAATGTTAGGAGTAGAATCTGAGCAAAAAATGAAATCATTATCTCTCTCTAATAACACGTCAAGCGAAGAATTGACGATATGGCATCAGACATAAAATTACAAATTTTAAATAAAGTCAAATTATTTGCATTTAGTTGTGATGAGTCCACGGTCATCGTTAATTGTGCACGACTAATCATTTATGTTAGATATGTCAGCGGAGATCATATTGATGAAGAGATTTTCCATTCCCAATCATTATCAGCAGGCACTAAATCCGAAGATATATTCGGTGCAATATCGGACTTAATCGAAAGAAATGACTTGTGTTCAGGACAGATCATATATTTTAAATGGCAATGATTTGCCACTTTATTTTGTGTGAATTTTATTTTTGTTTTTTTAATGGCGGAGCGACTATGAACTCTGCCGCTTATTATATTGTTGGAGTAATTATTAAACAGTTTTCTATAAATTACTGAATTTTAATCATTAATTATTCTTAACAAAAGTGTTCCTTCGAAGTCTTACGTAAAGTTACTGGTGATCTGTGGAGTTTTGTGCCATAGAATTTGGGGTGTGTTCGTCCGCGTGCTCCTGGCGGGCCTATGCCTGTTTTTACCGGCGGCGGAACTACACCAGTGGAATTGGTGAAAATATTTCAAAAGGATTGCTCCTGTTATGCAAAGAAGAGACATCAAATAGGTAAAATATTTGAATTTGGGGCTATAACCTCAAAAGAAGTCGTGGTATGTAACCTTACATTTTCTACCATTTGGAGTTTGGAAGTCCCGGCGACTAATGTAAATGTTAACGGATTGACAATTTATTTGTTCAATCGTGCATCGATGTAAACAAGGTGCGGAAGTTATTAATCGTATTCGACAAGTGCTAAAAGTGTTTATGAGTGAGCTATTTTTTCATTATATATGGGTGCTAACAGCTCAATCATCGCAATGAGTGATATAAAGCAGCTGAAACTGTCCCGTTCTTCGTGTAAAGCAACGCTAACTCGTATTCAAAAATATGTTGAGGATTCCTCAAATTTAACTAAGGCAACTGTAGAAAGAACAATGGCAGAAACATATTTACCTAAAACTTAAGCGTTTAAAAAATCGAGTCACAGTAAACTTAATCAAAATTTTTTCTATGATTTATCATTACACCACCATGTGTTGTATAAGTCTTATAAGAGATATGATATTTTTGAAGATTTTATTTGACCTAAGACTAGGGATGCGTGGTGGCAATATTATATTATGGAACAATTTATCGATAATCGATTCTTATAGCTTTGGCTGAAATATTTACCGAAGGTTCACTATTATGATTATGAATTTGCTTCTGCCCACGTCTTCACTCGTACGGTAGAGTGACTGAATTAACATAATTAGAAATGATTTAAAATATTTTTGACTCTCTTTAAACGATTTTAAACACACTAAAGAAATAGAATAAATTTACGTTATTTTCCACTACACAGTGTGATGAGAAAAATACATTGTCATTGATAACGGCACATAAATAGACATACATCGATATTTTCAAAATGTCGATACGTAGTCGTTTAGTACATATCTCTTAATCTGTGGTTTAGATCCTGACAAGTTCCGGACTCACCACGTTTGTTATTTTATTTTTGTTTAATTTAGTGTTAAACTCGAATAGATGTTATGCTTTTATTTTTTTTATTTCATATACTGTAATAATAATGAAAATAATATTTTCGGCTATCTGACACACAACGCCATCTAGTTTCAAACAAAACATTAACAATATGTTAGTACTTAACCTCGAAACATTCAAAATCCAATATCTTTTTTCCTAGACTTCTTTCGCAAGTAATTTTGATATGAGAATGGTCAAGAATAAATTCTCAAGTGTTAAGGATTTTTTGATATTTAAACGCTAACATTTTAGGTCAAATAAAATTATGTATGGGGACCTGCCATTGTCCTTTTGGAGGCAAGAAAAGATAAACTTATAAGTTCTTTAAAAAAATTTGAAGCCATTCAGTTAGATATATTAAGTTTGGATCAGGCAGATCCTGAGGATGTAGGTTTGTTTGAGGAAAAATACTTTTCTACTATAGCTAAACTTAATGAACAAATTAAAATTCTTACTAAGTCGCAGCCTTCACAGCCGGCCTGTTCCAATGTGTCAAAGTTACCTACAGTAGAAATACCAACCTTTGATGGCAAGGATTTTACCAAGTTTAAGCCTTTTTATGAATTATTTTGTGCTGTAATAGACAATAATCAGGCATTGAGTGATGTTCAAAAACTATTTTACTTGCGTAAATATTTGCAGGACGAAGCATTGTCCATTATTGTGAGTCTACCTCTTATAGCTTAGCCTTACACAGAAGCATTGGAATTAATTAGGAAGCGCTATGAAAACAAGTCGCGCTTGATTTGCAATCACATAAATATGCTTTTAGACATACCGACTATGCAGAAAGGTACAGCTTCTTCATTAAGAATCTTTGTATCTAATATTAAACAGCAACTGTGTGCATTGAAAATTTTACATGAACCAGTTGATAACTGGGACCGACTCTTGCAGTGTGTACTTTTTAAAAAATTAGATTCATATACCCATCGTGCATTTCAGCTGGACCGTGATCCAGAACAATTGCCAACTATCAATGAATTTTTGGCTTTTTTACACAAGCGTGCTATGGCGCTTGAGTATACCATTCCTCTTAAAGGACACTCTTTTGAAAATAAATCCAAACCTACTATGCGGGTAAGTAATTAACCTACACATAACAATGTCATATGTGCTTATTGCAATAAAAAGGATCATGCTCTATATAGCTGTCCTAAATATAAAATGGTCCCTATAGAGACACGTTTAACTTTTGTAAAAGATCATAAATTATGTTCTACTTGTTTAAGGAACCATTCAGACAATGTCTGTAATTACAAATTTAAATGCAAAATTTACAAGGAACCTCGTAACACACTCTTATACACTGATAAGCAGGATAATCCTGTTTCATTAATTTCAAATTCTAACATTTCAGATTGTAATGTTTTATTACCTACTATAAAGGTGAAGGTCATTGACAAGTATGGCCATGAACTTATTGTTAGGGCTTTGTTGGATAGTGGAAGCCAGGCATCCTTCATAACAAATTCTTTGGTGCAAAAATTGGCAACAAATCCTTTTTCACAGCCAACCAATATAATTGGTATTGGAAACAAGCCCACCAAATTAAATGAGGTTGTACATTTACCTATTTTTTCATGTTTACACAAAAATATTAGTTATAAAATCAAGTACTATGTAGTTGATAGTATTACAAAACCACAGCCACAATGCACTATGGATATTTCAAACTTAAATATTCCAAAAAATATATTAGCAGATAGTGATTTTAATATACCTACTGAAATCTCAATTTTATTAGGGGCTGATATTGTAATATTAAAAAATAAAAAAATAAATGTTTTTTAATGTAATGTAATCTATGTTCCAAATAAATGAATAAACTAACTAGTGCGGCACCACAAATTCTAACAAAACTAATAATCTCGGGCGCCAGGTGCCTTAAGACACACAGACACAGACAACTAATAACAAATACAATAATTACCTGAACAAGCTCGGTCAGCGCTAGACGTTTAATCTATTGTGGAGGGCAGCTATTAAATAAAGAGATGTTATAAGCTTAAGTGGCAGTTTATTATCCCGTAGTGTCTGTAGAGTACATGGTATATTATAGGTCTAATTACAAATGTAATTCTTATACTCAAATTAGTACTGTCATTAATGCAATCTGTTTACTTTGCTAATACAAATTAAAAGTAAAATATTTTTAAAAGTCACATAAGGACTGATGAATAAATAAGAAACTAACGGTAGTTATCATAACGACCTACTCCCATAATAAAAATAACACCCCTTAGAGCCTACAGTATCCGTTATGACAACGCCGACAAAATTAGTACAACAAAAAAACGTACCAAATGACTCTGGCTCTGTCCGTTTGAAATTAGGGCATAATTAACTCTTATAAAGCTCACTCGTACTCCCACGTGGTTGTAGTGGCGGGGTAAGTAATCCAAGCTTCCTGGTTCCGGTCCCAAGCAGATCCTGATAATGGGCTACAGCCATAGGGCTTTTCCTGCCATTAGAGGTACTTAGGAAAGGAAATCCACTCTCCGAAGCAAACTAAATCCTTGGATCGGGCAGGTAGTGAGGTAAAAACTAATTGTAACGTAAGGATATTACAATCTAATAAGAAGGAAAGCCAAACTAATAAAAAGAATTAAAATTGAGGTAAAGAAAACACCCTGTTGCTAGTTGCTAAGTATTAATGACGATCCAAAATCATCTGTAAATGAGGTCTGTCATTATTTTACAAATAAAGGCAAAAATCTGGCACAGGATATAATGAACTTTTATACAACTCACCTAAACACAACCAGAGACCGCTACCAACTTTCCCCATCCAATTCGTTAACTATACTAGAAGTAGACGAGGCTGAGGTGGAGTCTCTTATCCTTCAGTTACGCAATGACTGTGCTGTTGGATGGGATGGAATATCTTCTGTATTCTTAAAGGAATGCCGTCACGCCTTGGTACCACCTCTAACCTTTCTATTCAACCGATGCATACAAACAGGAGTGTTTCCCAATGCCCTAAAAAAAAGCTGTAGTTCACCCGATCTACAAGGAAGGGGCAAGAGACTGTGTCAGCAACTATAGACCAATCATATTATCATCTGTTTCTAAAGTATTTGAAAAAATCCTTAGTAATAATCTGAAAACATTCTTATACAAATATGAAATCATAGCAAACAACCAGTTTGGCTTTCGTCCTGGAGTCTCGACAGAAGATGGGGTATTAGAACTTACACTACTTGTAGCTAAGCAAATGGATAAACATAATAAATGTCTTGGGATATTTTTGGACCTCTCAAAAGCTTTTGACACAGTTTCTGCCCCCCTCCTCATCTCCAAGTTAGAACTGCTTGGTATACGCGGTACGCCTCTGTAAATTTACTAGACTACCTTACAAATCGCACGCAGTCCGTAAAAATCAATTCTTACTTTAGTGACGAAGAGCCGGTGATTCTGGGCCCGATTTTATTCCAAATTTACGTCAACGGTCTGTGCTTGCTTAAGCTCCCGGAGTGCGTTAAAATCTACGCATATGCCGATGACACCGCAATTCTTGTCTATGGTACTACATGGGAATTCGTTAAAACTAAGGCAGAACTAACTCTAAGCGAAGTCATTAAATGGTTAAACTCGAACCTCCTCAGTATAAATGTACAAAAAACGGCATACGTACCTTTCGCGATTCGACGTAATGGTGCACCAACCGACTCCTTTGAGATAACTGCTCACTCATGTCCTAACCTACGACCTACCTGTAATTGCCCGACACTCAAGAGAGCAAGCTGTGTCAAATACCTCGGAGTACAAATTGACTGTGGTTTAAGATGGGACCAACACGTAAGATTGGTCACTACCAGAACGATGCGTCTCATTCACATCTTCAAATCACTTAGGAAGTCGGCCACCTTTGACATCATTAAGCTAGTATATCACGCACTGTGTCAATCGGTAATTGGATATTGCATTACGGTGTGGGGTGGTGCTGCAAAGTCGTATCTACTGGAAATTGAAAGAGCACAGCGAGCCATACTGAAAGTGATGACATACAAACATTTCTTGTATCCAACCACCCAACTCTATGCTGACTGTAAGGTACTAACAGTGCGGCAGCTCTTTATTCTCCAAACAACCTTAAGGTACCACAATACCCTTCCACTACCAGAACCCAATAAACGTAGATACAATGCAACTCCTGTTCGTCACAAAACCGCCTTTTCTGAACATCAATATTACACGTTAAGCCCTTACCTATACAGTAATATTAACAAAGAGTTAAACATCGCACAACTAAATAGATTTAAAATCAAGCATCGACTGACTGAGTGGTTATTAGTTAGAGATTACTCTGCTACTGAATTACTACTACAGTTCGTAAAGTGACTATATATTTCACACACACACCCACACACACACACACACACACGCACATGCGCACACGCTCGCACGCACCCACACACACACACACACATTTAACTCAAACTGTCTTTGGTATATATTATACATACGGTCATCATCCAATCAACAGTGTCTTCATCGTCTCAATGCCCAATGAAACACACTATTGTAATTCCTTAGAGCCGTAACCTGTCTCTTAAGATACAGGCTTAGCCTAGTTTAAGAGACATGGTTCAAATTTTGAATGTACAACAATATTTTGTAACTTTAGAACTTTAGCGTATAATACTGTAAATACCAATTGTGTCTGCTAGTTTTACTGTTGTAACACCTTTGGACCAATAAATATATTTATTATTTATTATATAACTAGTCTCCATAAGCCAAGTACGAAACACGTGGCGAATTAAAACTTACCAAAAAAGCAAACTAATATTTCCAATTAAAAACTCGTTTCCTTAACAAGACTGGCCAACAATAAAAAGTGAATTAATCCTCTGATTATAACAAATGGAGACGGATTACATCCGACTTTCAAAAAAAATGGCCAACAGGCCTTACATCTTCGTAAGTTGACTTCGATCTCGCCAAAAGCTAAAGTGACAAAAAAATAGTGTGGCCCGAGCAATAGAGTGCAAACAACTAAAATCGAATGAAACGTCCACAGATTATATAATTCCATAGACCAAATCGATAACACAGTCATTCAAATAGGCTTAAAAAAATCTCGACTCGTCACGCCATCTCTCTGAGCCTTACTGAAACGTCAGAAACTTCAACTGTCAAACTAAAAACACGTCGATAATTAAATTTTATGTAATGGTGCGAAATGCACCGTTACAATATTTATTTTAATTGTTTACTAAGTGGCTGTTTAAGATTGCCTGAGGGTCTTACTTTACAAAATACAGTGTTTGGTTATGTGGTTGCTGGGAAGGCTAATTTTACAAATGATAGCTCATACATTCATTTAGTTTCAAATTTTGTGGTTTGTGATGAAAGAAAATTAGAATTTGTTATGGAAAAATTCTGGCTTACTGAAAAAATACCGGATCAGGTTTCTTCTAAGGTACAGACTGAGTTACAAGAGGCTGAGGCTATTTTTAGTAAGTCAGTGTGCAAGGTAAATAACACATTTTATGTGGACATGCCTCTGACTTGCCCCATAAGCGAGTTACAATTGGGAGATTCTTTTTCAGTTGCCTTTCAAAGGTTTTTATATTTGGAACGTAAATTCAAACAAAATCCAACTTTATTTTTAGAGTACAAAAGGTTCATTGGCCAATATATAGAAATGAATCATGCTAAGGAAGTCGACATTAGTTACCATGATAATAATGACGGTTTTGTTTATTTTTTAGCACATCATGCTGTATTCAATGAGTACAGTAAAACAACCAAGTTACGAGTGGTTTTCGGTGGCAGTATGAAGTCAAAAGTAAGGTATCGTTGAATGACATTATGCTGAATGGGCCTGTGGTGCAGGGTGAGCTCTTTGACATTCTTCTTTTGTTTCGAACGTACTTGTTCATTTTAAAATGCGACATAGAGAAGATGTTTCGCTCTGTTTTCATTAATGAACATCATAGAAGTCTACAAAATATTCTATGGAGGGATGATCCCAGTCAGCCTATACGTTGCCTGCAGTTGCAAACTGTCACCTACGGTCTAAAATCTTCTACCTTTTTAGCCACTCGATGCTTGACAGAGCTAGCAAATACACATAAGAATAAATATCCACTTGCTGCTCAAGCTATGCTTAAAAACACATATGTAGATGATATACTTGCTGGTTGTGATGATGTCAGGCAAGTTTTTGAACTTAAAAATGAACTTATTGATTTATTAAAGTTAGGTAACTTTAATTTACACAAATGGTGTTCCAATCATCCATCAATATTGGATGATATTCCTAGCAATCGCAGATATTTTGAAGAAATAAATTTAGAAAAATATAATATTATTAAAACCCTTGGCTTGAAGTTTGATGTTGTTTCAGATGATTTCTATTTTGAACCCCCATCACAATGTGATGAGGCAATTTATACTAAACGCAAAGTTCTTAGCTTTATTGGCAAAATATTTGACCCATTGGGCATTATTGGGCCAATCATAGTAACAGCAAAAATTTTTATGCAGAATTTGTGGTCTATGAAGCTGGGATGGGACGACGACCTTCCTAGCGATTACTCCCAACAATGGGACAGATTTATTAAACTTTTAAATAATATGAATAAAATTTCAATACCTAGATTTTTAAACTGTAATGAATTTGTAACTCTTGACTTAATTGGGTTTGCAGACGCTTTCTCTAAAGCCTTTGGTTGCTGTCTCTACGTACGTATTGTAAAACCAGATGGAAATGTGGTGGTCAATCTCCTATGTTCAAAATCACGTATTGCACCTCTATCAAACGTACTTACCATACCCCACTTAGAGTTAAACGGTGCACTCCTTCTTGCCCAGTTGGCAAACAGGGTAACTAAGGTACTCAATTTTAGATTTCCACATTGTGTGGTTTTATACAGTGACTCCCAAATTGTTCTTGCTTGGATAGAGAACGGCAGAGCCAAAGGTAATACTTATGTCAATAATAGAGTTCAACAAATTCTTGGGCTAACAGAGAAGTTTTCGTGGCACTATGTCCGCATAAATTATTTTAGGTAATTATTTGTATAATTTATATAAATTTTTCATCTTTTTTATCATTTATATAAATATATATATATATATATATATTACTTAATATCACTGTTGTTATCTATTAGGTTATTATTTTAATACATCACAATGTCTGATTTGGACAATAGTGATGTCGATAGTTTTTACTCCACGAACAGCCTTGACACTAGCTTTGTTAGCATACCTTCACTCCGAGAAAATCTACACTATCAATTTTCGGATGCACCGCAGTATTTTAATGTCGTCCATATTAATGCCCAAAGTATTCCAGCCCACTTCTCTGATATGCTGGCTACCTTTGATTGTAAAAACATACACGCCATTTTAGTCTCAGAGACATGGTTAAAACCATGTCTACCATCCATATCATATACTCTTCCAGGTTTCCACCTGATAAGGAATGATCGTGCCATTGGTGGTGGGGGTGGTGTTGGTATATATCTACGACAACATATTCCCTTTACCATTGTAAATATGTTTTCACAACCCCCCCCCCCCCCCCCCCCCACCGGACGCAGGTGAGCATCTCTTCTTAGAACTAGAACTTAATCACGCGAAAGTTTTACTCGGTGTTTACTACTCGCCATCATTACGTACTAACTACTTTTACTCGTTCGAAAATATGCTAGAAAAATTATCTCCTTCCTATAGTCACACAATAGTAATGGGCGACTTTAATACTTGTTTAATGAAAAGTGACTGTCGATCTTCTCTGCTGCGCAGGGTGGTGGACTGTAATAATTTATCACTTTTAAGACTTGATGCTACTCATGATTTTCCTAACTGCACTCCCTCTCTTCTTGATCTTATTATTGTCTCCTCTACTGATCATGTCATTAACCATGGCCAGTATCCAGCGGATGCATTCTCCTATCATGATTTGATATTTCTTTACTATGCTATCCGCCCACCCAAGGCAAAACCGAGAATTCTTGTGCAACGCAACTTTAGCGGGATGGATCTTATTAAGCTGAAAGAGGATGCCGGTAACATTGACTGGTCTGTCTTAATAAACTCGCAGTGTATTAATGAAAAAGTACAAATATTAACTGAAAAGATATTAGAACTATGTAACGCATGCACCCCTGCGATCGATCAAAATAAAACATTTACCGGCTCCATGGCTTACCGAGGAGATACGGCAGATCATGTCTAAGAAATGTTTAGCGAAAAATAAGTACAAGCCTCGAACCACGGATATTAACCTAGAAAAATATGTGTACCTGAGAAATCTCTGCAATAAGATGTGTAGAAATGCACAACGCCAACATATCCATTCTTCCGTAGACAACGGAGACCCAGCAAAAGTCTGGAATTTTTTAAGAACATTGGGAGTTGGGAAGTCTCGCCAAGACTCTCTTCCTAAAAATATAAACATTGATTTACTTAATAAACATTTCTCTATCTCGTCTGAAATTAATGACAACATTAAAGCTAATACTCTTAGATATATTTCTTCTACCCAAGCTCCCGACTATCCACCTTTCGTCTTTGATCAGTTGTCCGCTTGTGACGTTAAGAAGACCATTCTAGCGATTTCATCAAATGCAGTAGGGTGTGACTGTGTTAGCCGAAACATGATTCTTCCTATCCTAGACGAAATCCTATCCATCCTTGTTACGTATGTGGGAACAAGTGAAACGCGTGCAGGTTGAGTGCGTACTGCCGTTTATTCGCATAAACAATAGTCTTTTAAAAAAAATTTTTGTTTTCCCTTTCCTTACAAACCCTTCCCCATTTTCCCATGGGCCAGTAAAGCGTGATTTAAATTCTTTTACGGGTTTATTTTCCCAAAAACAAAAATGTTACCCCCGCCCCCAAAACCAAAAAAAGAATTTTAAAAAAGAATTAACTTTTTCCCCCTTTTTTTCCGTTTTTTAAAATCCCGGGTAACCTTTTCCCTTTCTTTTTTAAAAAAATTCGCATTTTTTTAATGAAAAAAAAAATTTATAAAAATTTGTAGGGAAAAAGATCCCCTTTGCGGCCCAAATCCTTTCCCCATTTTTCAAAGGGAATTGGGTTTTGTCTTTTTTAAAGCAAAAAAAATTTTTAAAATTTTTTTAACCAGGATTTTAAAACCTAGAAAAAAATTGCTCCCTAAAATCCTAAAATTAAATTTGTTTTTTCACAACGCAAACTATTTTTTCCCTTTTTTAAAAGGGGAAAAAACGGAAAAAAAAGGGGATTAAAATCCGCCAAGGGATTTCCCCCTTTTTTCCTTTTAAAAATTTTTTAAACATGATTTTTTTAAAAAAATTTTTCCCCCAATCTTGTTTGTTTGCCAAAAAGCTAAACCTTTCAAAATTTTTTCCCCCCCAAACACCTCCCGGGTTTCCCCAAACCTTTTCGTTTTAAAAAAATCTTCCCGGGGCGTTAAGAAAACCCATTTAGGGGGAATTTTAAATCAAAGCGAAAGGGGTGCCGGGGTTTTAGCCAAAAAACAATTGACTTCCTATATGGAAGAAATTTTCCAAAAACCCAAAATTTTTTAAAGGGGAAAATTAACAAAAAAAAACCGTGGGGGTTTTTACTGAGTTTTAATTTGCCGTTTTTTCCATTAAAAATTTTTATTTTCCCCCGGCCAACACGCACATAGAATAATTTTTTTGTTAATTTTTATTTTAAAAATTTTTTCCCCCTCCCGTTTTGGGGGGATTAACTTAAACTTATATTAAAAAGAAAAAGGGGGCGGGGGGGGTTGGGGGGTTGGGGCTTTGGGGGGAAGTTTTCCTGGGGGGGGAATTTGGGGGGGCTTTTTGGGCAATCGGGGAAATTTTTTAATATTTTTTTCCTACCAAAAGTTTTAAACCTCCCCCCCTTTTCCAAAAATTTGATTAAATATTTTTTAAAAAACTACCTTTTGGGCCCCCAACTTAAAAAGTTTTTTGGGGCCCGGCACACCGGAAAAAACCAAAACGGGGAATTTCTTTTTAAATTTAAAGAAAACCCCCCAATTAAATGAAAATTTTTCCCCTTTTTATTTTGGGTTTAAAAAATAAATCAAAAAACAATTTCCGGGCCAAAAACAAAAAAATACCGGGGGAAATAAACCCACTTTAACCAACCCCCAAAAAAATTATTTTAAAAAAAAATTAAAATTTATTTGTTTGGGGAAAAAACCCCTTCAAAAAATTAAAGACAAATTTTTAAAACCCATTTTAAAACCCATAATTTCCCAAACCCCCCCTGAAACCGGGGGAAAACCAATTTTTACTTTCAAAACCATTTCAAAAATTAAAACGCCCGTTAAAAAAATGAGGAAATTTCACTACCCAAATTAAACAAAAGAAGAGGCTTTTAAAATTTTAAAAATTTTTGTGAAAACAAACCTAAATGGGGTTTTTACTTTTTATACAATTTCCCACGGAAACCCCCCCAAACCTTTTACCCCCCAAAAAAAAAAAAAAAAAAAAAAAAGGGTTCGGTGAGGGGGGGGCCCAAACCGGAGGAGGGGTTTCCTTAGCTGGTAAATAAAAGGACGGTGTACATATTTTTAACCAACCCCAAAATCTTTCGTTTTCTTTTTTAGTTTTTAATTCGACCGGGAAAACCAAACCCTACCTCGAGCATTGGCCTTACACTTGACAATGCCTAAATGAGACTTATGAAGTTCAGACAACACTTTGTTTTGTAAAGACGCGGGTATAACCACTTTATGCCCCCTCATAACTATACCGTTTTCTACCGACAGTTAAGTTCTACACAAAAAATATGGCAATAAGTTTTTGTCTGTGACTTTTCTTGGCCAACCACTTTGTATGAATTTAACAACCCTTAACAACTTATTGTCTTTTCTAACTTCTTCGCGTAGTGAACTAAGAGTCACGGGCAAACTATAATCTACCACAAAATTTACATAAGACGCCCTATCTTCAATAAACTCGGCAGCCTCAGCGCTTTTTTCGTAGCCACACCTATCGTCACATAAGCTCGCGCGCGACAAGTAGTCTGCGCAGTTATCCGCACTACGAACGTATTCTATACGAAAGTTATAACCGCTTAGAAACATCGCATAACGTTGTAATCTGTTTGCGGACACTTGTGTGTGTGATTAATGGCTTATGATCTGTTCGAAGTAAAATCGGAATAGACCTGCCGTAAAGATATTGGTGGAAACGCCTCACCCCAAATATTATTGCCGTCGCCTCCTTATGGATTTGTGAGTATCGACGCTCAGCTGCATTCAACGTACGCGATGAGAACGAGATCGGACGCTCCAACCCGTCGGCGGGGTCTACCTGTGATAACACCGCGCCTAGACCGCTTGGTGACGCATCCACTGTCAAAATTATTTTAGCGTCGATATTAAAGTGAGCTAACACCTGATCGGAAACCAATAACTTTTTAATAGTATGGAATGCATTGTCATGGATGGAATCCCAATGCCATTTAATATTTTTTTGTAGTAAACTATACAAAGGACTTAAAACTGAAGACGCGTTAGGCACAAAGTTACGGTAATAATTAACAAGACCAAGAAAGGACTGTAATTTACCAACATTTTTAGGAACCGGGGCATTTAAAATAGCTGACACTTTCTGGGGTGACTTTTTCAACCCGTGCTTGTCTACTACGTATCCTAAGTATTCCACCGTATCTACGTAGAATTGAATTGAAGGCATTAAGTCCGCCTCGTGCAAACTGTAATGCAGGAAGTGTAAAAATAAATAAATAAAATAAATGACACTTTGATTTTTGTACCGTGAGACCAGCGTTCTGCAAACGCCTAGTACTTCATGCAATCTTTGTAAATGTAGCTCTCTGCTGATCCCTGTCACCAAAATATCATCAAGCATACATAACACTCCATCCATGCCAGACAAGACGCATTCCATCACCTGCTGAAATATAGCTGGGGCACTGGTTAATCCAAACACTAAACGAGTGTATTTAAATAAGCCTTTGTGTGTGTTAATGCATGTTATTTTTTGCGATTCTTCATCTAAAACACACTGCGAATAAGCCTGTGATAAGTCTATTTTGCTAAATTGTTGACCGCCGTGTAATTTAGTAAACAACTCGTGCGCGCTAGGTAAAGGATACTGATCTATCAACAGTTGTTTATTTATCGTAACCGAGTAGTCCACACACAAACGAATCGATCCGTCGCGTTTCAAGACTGGCACTATAGGTGACGCATACTCGGAATAATCAATCGGTTTTAAAATTCCTGCACACACTAAGCGATCTAACTCCTTATCGACTTTGTCTCTCAGTGCGAAAGCTATAGGTCGCGGTTTAAAAAATATAGGCTTAGCGTCACTTTTTAAATTTAATTTAATTTTATACTTATTGAATGTACCTAGTTTATCGGAAAATACACTAGCATATTGCATTTGTAACTGTTCAGTTATGTTTGAGGACTGTAAACAATAATTCACTGGCAGAATTTCCAATTCATATAAAGATATGAAATCCCTACCCAAAAGTGGTGGACCGCCGTTTCGTATTACATACACATCTAGCGTATGCGTTTTGTTCGAATATGTGAACGGTGCAACTCCTATACATTCAATATAATAGCCAGTATAAGAAAGAAGCCGTCTATTTGTTTTGAGCAACGACACCTCACTAAATAATCTTAAATAAGTTTTTTCGGAAATAGCAGTGACAGCTGACCCGGTGTCGACCTGAAACTTTAATCGCACTCCCCGGACGTATACAACGTCCCACATAGGCTCACCGTTAATTGAACGAATGTTATAAAACTCACCGTTATCATCGCCGTTATCATCCACCCTCTCGTTTCCCACATAATTTACTTTTTTACACATGCGTCGCAAATGGCCTTTTACATTGCATTTTTTGCATTTATAGTTAGCGAATTTACATTGAGACGAGGTATGATTCTTAAACCCGCAAACCGTGCACAACACTCTATGGGCCGTGACATTGTTATCAGCGATCTTACAGCTGATCACTGCGTGGTATCGTCGTCACTACCGACGCCGCCGCAGCGGCTACGCTTGCGCAGCGCACTCCTTCTGCTAGCGAGACTGCTTCTACCAGCGACAAAGAATTTGGATCCCGAGCAAACAGCTTCTCCCGCTCCGCTCCCGGCAGCATTCCCATCACAAAACGGTCCCGTAATGCTTCCTCCACGTTTAGAAATCCACAATTCGCGGTCAAACCGCGTAGTCTTGCCGCCCATTGAGGGTAAGTTTCTTCGTCCGATTGTACTGCGGAATAAAACTTGTACCTCTCGCTGAAGCCACATACTTGGGGTATAAGATGATTATCTAAAAGTTTTAATATATCCTCGTAAGGCACTACTTGGAGATCTTTGGGCAACGCCAAATCCACTGCGCCAATCGTCCCTTGTACTCGCGCCACGATTGCAAATTGTGATCGAAACTCGATAATAACCCGAAAAAACCCTGCGACATGATTTTCGGGTTTTACTAGGAACTTATTTTATTTTTTTGAAAAAATAAAAGTGGGTACTTAAATACTCGTCGCCACTGTTAAGTATGTGGGAACAAGTGAAACGCGTGCAGGTTGAGTGCGTACTGCCGTTTATTCGCATAAACAATAGTGTGTGCAGACACTATAGACACATAGATATAGATATATATATATATATATATATAACAATCCTATGCAATATCCTGAATCACTCCGTGTCAAGCGGTGTTTTTCCATCTGCATGGAAAGATGCTCAACTAATCCCTCTGCCTAAAAAAGTTAAACCCTCTTCCTTTTCTGACCTTAGGCCTATTTCTATTTTACCTTTCTTGTCCAAAGTGCTTGAACGTCTCATCCACTCTCAACTGAGTAGCTTCCTTTCCAAAAATTCTTTACTGAACCCCTTCCAATCCGGCTTTCGTCCTGGTCACAGCACAACTTCTGCATTAGTTCACATTACCGATAGTATCAGACTAGGTATGGATAGTGGAATGATTACAGTACTCGCCTTACTTGATTTTACAAACGCTTTTAATACTGTAGATTTTCACATTCTGCTTGGTATACTGCGGTCTCATAACGTATCCCCAAGAACAATTGATTGGTTTCATAGTTACCTGTCTGGTCGCCGGCAACGTATTTGCATTGAAGACTCGGTGACTTCCTGGTGCAGTATTTCTGCTGGTGTACCACAGGGTGGCGTTTTATCTCCTTTACTCTTCGCTGTTTTTATAAACTCCATCTCTAATCAGTTAAGTTCGTTCTATCACCTTTATGCAGACGATTTACAAATATATACACAAGCCCCGCTTACCTTGTTATCGGGGGCATTCAACAAAATCAATGCTGACCTATCGCGCATCGGCGAATGGAGTCATAATTATTTACTCAAGGTCAATCCTAAAAAGACTCAGGTATGTGTGATTGGCAGTCCTGGGCTGGTCTCAAGAATTAACTGGACACAAATGCCGCAAATTGAATTCGAAGGCACTACACTTGAGATCAGTACTAGTGTTAAAAATTTAGGAATTAGCATAGATAATAATTTAACTTGGGGCCCACATTTACAAAAAGTTAGTCGTAAGATATTTGCTTCTGCCGGGTCCATGCGAAGACTACGGAACTTCCTACCGACTGCAACTAGGGCTGCACTTGCACAAGCACTTCTCCCAATTCTCGACTATGCCGATGTCAGCTATCTGAATCTCACTGAAGCCCAACTTGATAAGCTTGAGCGACTTCAAAATTTCTATATACGATTTGTATTTGGACTAAGAAAATATGATCACGTTTCTGAATTCCGTCTAAAGCTCAAGTGGCTTCCGATTCGCTCTCGCCGGAATACTCATATACTCATTTTTCTCTATAACATCTTGTTCAATCCCAGAGCCCCCTTTTACTTCAAAGAACGGTTCAAGTTCCTTCATGACACACATGAAAAGTGTCTGAGGTCATCCGAAGATTTGAGGCTTGAGATGCCTCTGCATTCTACAAAATTTTACGACCAGTCTTTTACTGTTCAAGCTGTACGCTTGTGGAATGCACTGCCGATAAACATAAGGCGAGCGAAAACCATAAACAGCTTTAAGAAAATGGTCCAAGAATTTATGGTATCGTAATTAAGACAGCTCGTGTTAAGGTGTGATTTGAATGCTTTTCTTTTTTTTTGCTATATGTGATATTGTATAAGTACTTATGTATGTATAAGTATTTGTTTTTATGAATATAAATATGTATGTGTATTTGTATATATATATATATGTGTGTGTGTATATTTCTTATATTATATATATATTTAGTTATTATCTCTTATATATTCGTTAGTAATTAACCTGAAAAACTCATTTCACCATCAACTACTACTATCTCTCTCGAACATTTTGATCCATCCTATGGTTGCCTGGAAGAGATTGCTCTTAGCAATAAGGCCGCCCTTTGTACATTGTATATCTAACACTTTCATGTAACTATCATGCTTCTTGTAAAATGGTGTACAAATAAAGAGTTCTATCTATCTATCTATCTATCTAAAAAGTTTAATGTTATTGAGTCAAGGGTTAAACATACTCCAATGGAACAGAATTTGAAGTTAAATCCAGGCAATATTAATCAAAGCCTTAAATATAGAAATTTGATTGGAGCTTTACTTTATATAACCTTAAGTACTAGACCTGATTAATCTTTATTATAGTAGAAATTTATGTTTGCATTTTAATGGTGAAAACTTTCAAAATATAATAGAATGTTATATTGATTCAGATTGGGCTAGTGATTCGCTAGATAGTAAGTCTCCAACTGGTATAGTAATTAGAGTTAATGGTAATCCTGTGTATTGGGAAACAATAAAACAAAAGACTGTATCTCGTTCATCTACTCATGCAGAGTGTTACGCTTTAGCAGATGCTGCTGAAGAAGTTTTATATATAAAAGGAATTTTGTCTGATTTGAGAGATAATGAAGAGTATCTTTGTAACGTAAAAATTTTTGAAGATAATAGTGGAGCACTTGCTTTAGCCAAGAATGGTAATTTTACAAAACGATCAAAACATATCGATGTGGCACTTCATTTTGTACATGATTTGGTTGTCGATGATAAAATTGATATTGTTAAAACTGAAAGTAATAATAATATTGCAGATATGTTAACCAAGGCTCTTGGCCAAATTAAATTTAAGGAGTTCCGTTTAAAGTTAAATGTATATTAGATTTTTGTTAGTCGCAAGAGAGGGTGTTAAGAAATGCGACAAACAAAAATTATATTAATTATCTATGGTAACATTATTGTTAATCTGTGGTAGTAAAAAATCTATGATCGAAAAGTGTGAAGAAAAATGGATGATGTAAAAATGTTATTGTGAAATAAAAATAAAGTATTAGTAATTGAAAGCGTGTTTTGTAATGCAAAAATCAAGATGCTTCCAGCAAATTTAAGAGTTGCTCTAATAGGAATGTAAACTAATCTTCTGTTTCTATTTTCATGGAACCACTAAAACCCAAAGAAATTAAGAATTGTAACTCCGCTAACTACTTCTTTAAACAACTGCCTTCAAATCATAGTTTGTTTTTCTCATGTTTACACGTTAATATTAGGTCTATAATAAAGAACTTCACTAAATTGTTACAAATTATCCATGAATGTTCTTATCCACTGGTCATGATTGTGCTTACAGAGGTTGGCATATCCGAGAATATTGTCAGGTTATTTAATAAACTCAAACTCAAACTTTCTTTATTTTATAAAATTTCCAAAATTGTTTGAAATCGTCTTCCATGTAGACTCTAAAGTCATAGATCAACACACACAAAAGCAACAATCTCTGTTTTGTCAAATAGTAACCAAATAAATTTAACAAAAATCAAACCCATACAAAATCCACCGACGGGCGGACCACGACGGGGCCCATGAAATAATAGGGCCTCCGTCTTATCCAGGGCCACCCGTAATCCCAACGCCTCAATGCGCCCGACCACCTGGAAAACTCCCGTGGCGGCCAGGCGCGCCTCCTCCTGGAAGTTAGCCCCCCGGGCCGTGAGCAAAGTGTCATCCGCGTAGCAGATTACACCCAGCCCGGGGGGGAGACGCCCTCGCAGGGCCCAGTCGTACCCGATGTTAAACAGGAGAGGTCCTAGGACAGACCCCTGCGGAACACCGCACGACATGGCCCCGCGTCTCAAGACGCCATCTCGGTCCACGTACATGACGGTTCGCTCCTCAAGATAGTCTGCCAGCAGCCGCCTCAGGTACTCCGGCACTCCGTAGTAGCGGAGCGCTTCCCTGATGCAGCTGAATGGCAGACTATTGAAGGCGTTGGCGATGTCCAATGTCCACCGCCAACACCACTCCGCCGCAGCTCACGGCCTCCTCGGTCACGGCCCTAAGGCGCATCACGGCATCGATCGTCGAACGCCCCTCTCGGAAACCGAATTGGGCGTCCGACAGATCGGGGCCAACCTCGCAGAGGTGCCGGACGATGCGGGCAGAGAGTACCCTCTCAAAAAGTTTACCCGCCTCGTCCAGCAACACGATAGGCCTATAGGCCGCGACCGAATCGGTAGGCCGTCCCGGCTTCCTCAGCAGGACCAGCTTCCCGCATTTCCAGCGCTCAGGGAAGCGTCCGGACGCCAGGCTAGCGTCAAACACCCCCCTGAGGTGGTCCGACATGTAGCCGAGGGCTCGGGCCATCACTCGGGCTGGAACCCCGTCCGGCCCGGGGGCAGTGTTCTTGGATCGAATAAGTAGAACAGCCGCCCCCAACTCCGATTCCCTGACGGGCGGAACATCAACCTCGCTGCCCCCGTCGTCTCCGGCTGATGCAGCCATCGACGGGGGTGTGTGCTCCGCCCGCTGCGGGAATAGGCCCTCGACCACTTCCTGCAGGAAGCTGGGCTGGAGAGTCTCCGTAAGGGGGGGGGCCCGACATGCGGAGCTTTTGACGCACCGCACGATAAGGGCGACCCCAGGGGTCACGCTCGAGACTCTCCAGCATCTCCTCTCTACTCACATCCTTGGCGCGGCAGATGGCCAGCCTCAGAGTTTTCCGAGCTTCTCGGTACTCCTCATGAAGCCGGTCCACCTCCTCACCGACCCCGCGGTGACGTCGCCGACTACGGGTGAGGGACCTCCGGGCACGTACACAGGCCGAACGGAGGTCCGCCAACTCCTGGGAAAATCTATGATATGCCTGTGCCGATCTACAACCGCCCGTTTCCAAGGGGTTGAGCCTTATGAGAAGAAAGGGCAAACAAACTTATGGCCACTCTTTTGCAATTCACAAGTAGATACAATGGCACTATTCAATATATCACAACATTGTTTTGATGTGTGCTGGTATGTCCGTTATTAAGGACTAAAAGGTGAAAAGACAATGAAGAGAAAACAAGATTAAGAAGAAAAAACGAATACAAGAGAAAATGAATTGAAACATAAAAAATAGAAAAAATAATAATAATAAAAAACATACTAGCCACACCACATTTTTACTTGAGAAAGAAATAGCCTGCGCTAATTAATCCCAAGCATTCTTGTCCTCCATGTGATCCACAATCGAGTAGTAGGCCCTCTGGCACAAGCCACGTTTTATTGCGGATTTAAATTTGTTAATACTCAACTCCTGAATATTACTTGGCTACAACTACGAATAAATAGAAAAGGTATTATTATTTACACAAAAAAGTATTTAAAATTTACTACAATCCCATATAAAAGCTTAACTTTCGAAAATATAACGGGTATCTTAAAAACAGATAGCCAAGACGTAGTTGTGTGTGCTATTTATAGGCCACCATCTTCATATGCTCGCAAAAGGCTGTTTGTTAAAGAACTTGTAAGTATAGTATGTAGGTACTTATATATATGTAGGTTTATTTATTGTGATATGCATTGTAGATGTAAGTATAAAAATTGTAAATGTTTGTAGATAATATGATATGTGTAGTATATGTAATATGTATAGTAAATGATAGTAAACAAATAGTAGGTTCACAAATGCAGATATTCAACTACTACTGTCTCTCTGCGACTTTTGATCCATCCTAAGGTTGTCTGGAAGAAATTGCATTTAGCAATAAGGCCGCCCTTTGTACACTCGATATTTGATCGTTGTGTTCCTTTCTTGAAACTCTGTAATTTAGTGTGCAAATAAAGAGTTATCTATCTATCTATCTTTGGAAGCATTACTTAAGACATGTGTCTTCATAAGCACAAGATCGCCTTCTTTGAAGGGATCCGAAGCCCGACGGCCGGAATCCGCTTGATGCTTGCGAAGATCCTGCTGATGCTCGATATTCTCCTTAGCTTGAGAGAGAGAGTCAACCAGCTTTAGAAGGTACGGTGTGATCTGAGGGACCAAATTCTCAGATTCGATGGCTGCTCGTAAATCAGCCTGGACAGAGAGGGGAGAGCGGAGCTCGCGACCGAATGTCAAGTAAGTTGGAGTGGAACCGGTGGAAACGGTAAAGGAACTATTTAGAGCAAAACGGACGAACGGTAAAACCTCAGGCCATTTCTTGTGATTGCCCTCTACAAGAATAGCTAGGTGAGCCTTTAAGTTCCGATTTCTTCTCTCTACCGGGTTGGCTTCGGGATGATATAGTGGTATGAGGTTCTGTTTTACACCTAAGACAAACAACGCCTTCTGCATTACATCAGCTACGAATTGAACTCCGTTGTCGGAGATCATACGCCTAGGGAGTCCATACCTCATAAAAATCTCACCCACTAAGGTTTTCGCACAGATCTCGGCTGTAGCTTCGGTAAGGGCAAAAAGTTCAACCCACTTACTAGCGGTGTCCTCTACTATTAAAACCCACCTTTCGCCTTGAGGCCCTTTAGGTAACGGTCCAAAGAGGTCAACAGCGATGATCTCAAATCTCTGTGCGGGTACAGGAGTCTGGAGTAAACCAAGTGGTTTCAGGTTTGAGGCCTTGTACCGCTGACACTCCGTACAGGTCCTCAGGTAGTTGGTAATATACTTCCTCATGCCTGGGAAGTAGAACTGCTGGGATATGCGATGAAGAGTTTTCTGGATACCCCCATGAGCGGCGGTCGGCGAGTCGTGACACTCGTACATGACTTTGCTTCTCAGGCTCTCCGGAACGACCAGCTGAGGCTCTTCAGCATCCGAATCCTCTACATACCTGTACAATACTCCCTGATTGATAAGGTACCCTCTATCCGACCAACGGTGTACGGACAATTCGTCAGTACTTTCTAAGTCAGTAAGAATCTTAGGTACTTCTGGATCGGACAATTGAGCTTCGCGGGTAGATGTGGCGTCCCATCGTGGAATGTCCACGGTGACCGGACAGACACCACATCCCGATGTACTATCTATAACTGGGCGGCTGAGTGTGTCGGCTACCACATTAGCCTTCCCAGGAGTGTACTCGATTCGCAAATCAAAAGAACGAATGCCCAACGAACAAGCCTACCGGTAGGCGATTTGAGCGTGAACAGCCACTTCAGGGGTTGATGATCGCTCCTGACACATACCTGATGACCATCGATGTAGCCACGGAATCTCTCCACTGCCCAGACAACGGCCAACGCCTCCCTCTCAGTGGTGGAGTAGTTCCGTTCTGCCGGCGTAAGGAGACGACTAGCGTACTCGATGGGATGTTCATCTTGTGGTGACTCCCCCCTTTTTTTTTTTTTTTTAACGTGTGGAAATCCCCTCGGACCGTCACCCCGCCGGGGCTCTCGTTCGGCGGGGCGGTGTGTCGAACTCGAACCGACTAAAACCACACGGTGTGCCCTCTTTGCGCTTCCAGTTTAGGAGGGGTCCAGGTAGTTATCGCCTTCTGGACCCCTCCCAGCGCCGGCCCGCTCCTGGTGCGGGCTCCGTCTCAAAATGTTTACCTCTCTTTAGGCGACGTCCGGCACACGCGGACGCCGCCCCTCGCGGCTGGCCAAACTAATGCGGGTGGAGGGGAGAACCCATCCCGTCCACCCGCGGCCACACTCAGGGCGGCATGAGGCGCAGGTAAGCGCGCCTCCGCCGCTCGGTTCGCAGGCGGCGGATCGGGTCCGAGTTGAGGTCGTCCTCCCGGGCCTTCTCCGCCGCCTCCTTCTGAGAGATTACTTCCTCGCAGAAGGTTGCGACCGCGGTAAAACAACTGTCGCTACCGGCCATGGAGCGAACTACGGCCGGTAGCGAGAGATCCGCTACGATGACTGCAGTGAGGGCCCGGCGCTGCGTCGCCCATG